GGCGTGTTCATTCGCAGAACCTGGAGAACCCCTCAGGACCCCTGCCCCTACTCCACGCCACCTTAGAGAGCAGCAGGGGAGGGGGAGGCATCTGCAATATTAAGCGTTGTTACCCAAAGAACAGCCTACATATTTGCTGAAGATGCTGTTTAATTGACAAGATTTGACTATGTTTAATGCAGGTAGAATATTTAAATTTGATCACCAACCACCCAGGGTGTGCATGGGGGAGAGGAGCATGCTGTCTGCTGAGGCAAGCAGGGTGACTAGAAACAAAAACAAATGGCCACTTTTTCTCTGCACCGGGGTCATCCGTGGCAGGTAATTTAATGACCCTAGTATGCAGCTAAGCATCAGAACACGTGATACATCTGCCTTCTACTTCTCTCCTTCCCAATGTCTTCAGGGAAAAATGAATGATCTAATGAGTGGCTGTGCATGGAGGCCCAGTTCAGGGAGATGAGGTCTCAGTCACACGTCGAGTCTCCTTTCCAGTGGCCCTTATGGCTGAGGGAGACAGTGTCCCCTGGGCTGCACCAGTTGGAAGAAAAGGTGGAGTTTTCACAACCCTGGTTAGAAGTGGGAGGGAAGAGGTCAAGTCCTCAAGAGGAAGAGGAAGCAAAAAAAGAAAGAAGGAACTGAAAGAACTGAGATAGGGCTGGGAAAGAGGGAGAAAGGAGATGAAAGAAAGAAGAAAGAAGGAAGAGGGAAAGAAGGAAGAAAGGAAGGAAGGGAGGGAGGAGAGAGAGGAAGGAAGAAAGGAAGGAAGGAAGGAAGGAAGGAAGGAAGAAAGGAAGGAAGGAAGGGAGGGAAAGAGTGAAAGAAAGAAAAGAGAGAAGGAAAAGAAAGAAAAGAAAGAAAGAAAGAAAGAAAGGAAAGAAGAAAGAAAGAAAGCGGAAGTGGGGGGGGAGAGAGAGAGAGAGGACATCAGAGAATGGAGCTGGGAAAAAAAAAAGATTCAAACACGAAGAAATTCAAAACCAAGAGTGTCCCAAAACTAGAATAAAAAAGAAACTAAAACACAAAGACAAACCATAAGCAAGAATAATGAATAAAGACAAGAGAAGAGGGAAGAGGAGGAAGTATCAAAAGGAGATGCTAAAATAAACCCCCAAACCAAAGCAATATGAGAATCATTAGGCTAAGCTCATCACAGCAGGCATGCCAGCAGGGGCACAGGGGAGGGGACAGCGAAGGAGGAACCAAGGAGGGACTGGCAAAGGTGAGCACGAGCAAGTGCAGGAAATCTGTTGGGGAGGTGATGGGCAAGGGCTGAAGAACAAGTGGGGAAGAAGATATGGATGAAAAAGAGAGTGAAGAGGAGTCCTCCTGAAATAAGGAACTGAAATAATGACGAATGAATGAATGAATGCAGTGTTTTCATTCACATAATAACCAGAGTCTAGGCAGCTTTCCTCAGTTTAGCAGGATGGTGAAAAATCTGGGCCCTACACTACTTAGCAAATTATTCATGGGTGCACACACTTTTGTGGGGTAGAACCCACATAGAAAGGTTATCTAGTGCTGAGATGTCCTTTCTCAATCATCAGTCTGCCCTTGCCATACACTATTCTGATGGTGTATGATGTATTCTGTATGTATAGGTAAGTATTCTGTATGTATATGTATGTATTCTGATGATGTATGATGTATTCTGATGGTGTATATATGTTGTAAAGTCACACTGGTGTTTTGATTCTTTCATTTAACTGTGGAGTGAAGCCTCTGATGCAGAGGAGCAGGTTGAGAACTGCCAGACTGTGCTGTGACTTTCCTGGGCCCTGGGCACCTTTGCCTTCATGGATCTTTTATTCCTCCATTTAAAAAAAAGTCATAGAGGTATATTCCACAACAATGTTGGTAAACAGGTGAATGTATGAATATTACATATTAAAACATTTTCTTTGACTTGCAAGGTTTTTTTTTCTCCTTCAGATTTTAGATGGAATTAAAATATTTGTGTGGGTCTCTACAAGTATTGCCAGCACTGCACCTGCCACACCTGATGGATAAGTCAGCTCTGGAGAACTTAGAGATACAGAGTAATAACCACTAAAAATATACAAAGAGATTCGATTAAATATTTGTATCAATGTGAGCCAAGGTAGGTACATTAAAATAACAATGATTGGATGCAGTGATCACGGAAATTTCATGATTCAAGGCAAAGGTAGTTTCTTTAGGGTGCTGGCATATACTTACTGAGTTTAGTGCTTACTATATGCTAGGCTGTTCTGAATAATATATATATATATATATATGCTTTTGTTAAGTCCTCATAAGGTACATTCAAGTATATAAAGTACCTCCAAATGTACTTTTATTATTCTCAATCTACAGATAAGGACAAGAAGCACAGAGAGTTAAATAACTTGCTAAATAGTGTAGGGCCCAGGTTTTTAACCATCCTGCTAAACTGATGAAAGCCACCTAGACTCTGGTTATTATGTGAATGAAAACACTATATTCATTCATTCATTGATCATTATTTCAGTTCCTTATTTCAGTTATTAATTACCAATTCACTTTGTGTATGTGAGAAACAGGTCTCGCTCTCTCACCCAGGCTGGAGTGCAGTGTTGCAATTTCAGCTCACTGCAACCTCCGCCTCCCGGGCTCAAGAGATCCTGCCATCTCAGCCTCCGAAGTAGCTGGGACTACAGATGTGTGCCACCATGCCAAGCTAATTTTTGTAGAGACGAGGTTACGCCATGTTTGCCAGGCTGGTCTCCAACTCCTGAACTCAACCAATTCTCCCACTGCGGCCTTCCAAGGTGATTACAAGCGTAAGTCACGACACCCCACCTGTTAATTACATCTTCATTTCAGTAGGTTGAAGTATATTTATTCAGCCTTTGCTCTGTGTCAAGTACTGATCTGAGCTCAGCAGTTGCAATGGCAGGAACACAGACCCGGCCCTATTCCTTATATGGCTGACTCTCTAGTGGGAAATATGGACATTAAACAAATGACCACCTAAATATAACACTGCGAACTGGACTTCGTGGCATGAACCATGGAATGATATCAAAGCGCTGGGATCCCAATCTAATCTGGGCATCAGAGAAAGCTTCCCTGAGGAATTAAAATTTGGATGAGATCTCAATAATTAGTTAATGTATTAGGCAAACAGTGGGAGCAAGCATGTTCCAGGCAGAGGCCAACAACATGGGTCAGGTGCACAGGACATAAACTGAGCCATCAAGAAGCTTCCAATGTGAAAAGAGAATAAACCCATAGAGACAAGCAATGAAGTGCTGCCATGAGACAGATGTGTGGAGCATTTGAACAATGGGAGAGAAAGTGCTGGTAGGAGAGAGGTGGTGTTCAAGTCAATGAAAGCAATGTACGATGAGATCTGTAAGGAAAACTAGAAAAGCCAAGAGGCAGGCAGAGGATCTTATCCATTTTAGAGCCCTAGAGGCTATTTACTGGAGTAGCTGAAGATAGCACTGTGGACACAGACTAAAAAGGAAGAAACTGCTGTGAGCTCCATGAGAGGCTTCATAGATGAGACCTATGGAGCCATCTAAGATCATATCCTGACACAGTGGTCAAAATAAAGAAGCAAGTGTGAGCAGTGGTGAGAAAAAAAAAAAAAAGACAAACTTAACATTTGCTTTATATAAATATATTACATTCTGAAAAACAATAGTGCCCTTCATAAATGTGTAGTACTAAAAGAATTCGGTGTTAAGAAGGCAAGCAAATTATACTAAAAACACTACCATGGTTAAGCTGATAGAAATGAAATACACTGGTTAGTTCAATTATGTCTGCACATCTAACTTTTCTACTAGAATGTCTCCAATTACTCATTGAAGTCCTATATTCAAATCAAAATCTCTAATTTGATGGCATTTTTCTTTGGCAGAAAGAAACACCAGAAACATAAATGGCATATTTACATTTAATTGCAGCTTGAGTAAAAATAATAGTATCTAGAAAGATAATTTTTAAATAAATGGTGATCGATTTTTGGCAAATATGCATTGGTTATCACAGAAGGAGAAGTGAGCAAAGGAAATATGTGTGAAACTTATGTAAACTAACACAATCACATGCCTTTTGGGGTTACTAAAGGTTCAGAAATAAAACTTACAGAAATAAAAAAAAAGAAAAGAAAAGCCATGCCCTGCAGACTGGTCCCAAGCTAGAGACACCTTTTTCCAATTGTCCAAAGAATCCCTTTGGCAGGCTGTTTAATACACATGACTCCAATCTCTTGAAGTCTCTAGATGGAGGCCACATCCCATTGCCTTAAAAAACACCCTCTGTATCCATGGATGTTGATACTTGAGAACTTAACAGAAAGAACTTGATTCATTCTGTGAAGATCAGGAAAGCTCATATTATTATCTGACTACAGAACTGCTCAATGTTCATCCCAAAAAAGTAAGACTCCCTTAAATATCTGCATAAGATTCATTCTCTGTGTTTTATTTTCCTAATTTTCTCCAAAGAAGATGTGTTACTTTTATTAATAAAATATTAAAATGTAAACCATGGAATCAGGGAAGGAAAATGGCAGATAGGAGGCAGGACTAAATTGCAGCTCACACTCAGAGGGACAGAGCAGCATGTGGAGACTCATATTGTGGATTTTTGCTCCAGAACTACTGCAGGATTATACCAAGAAAGCCAAGAGAATCCACAGACCCCCTGAAGGAAGCAGATTGCTCCTGCAGGACCCAGGAGACAGCCCAAATACTACACAGCAAGAAGGTGCAATCTATGAATCAGAAAGTGGGTCCTCACCAGACACTAAATCAGCTGGTGTCTTGACCTTGGACTTCCCAGCCTCCAGAACTGCCAGAAGTAAGTTTCTATTTGTTATTAATTAAAAAAAATAAGTAAGCCATGTAGATTATTCATCAGCGTGTGAAGCAAAATGGAATCATAAAAATGAAACATTCATTACAATTTTTTGAAAACTGCTATTTGTTTTGTTTTGTTTTGTTTTGTTTTTGAGACTAGGTCGCTGTGTTGCCCAGGCTGGAGTGCAGTGGCTGTTCACAGGTGTGATCATGGCACGCTGCTTCTCAAACTCCTGGCCTCAAGTGACCCTCCTGCCTCAGTCTCCTGAAGAGTTGGGATTACGGAGTGCACAGCCTTGTTTGTTTTAGAAGGTAAGATCCATATCGAATTTTTAAAAATCCGTGACTGAGCAACATAAAACATGAGGATTTCCCAGATTTCCCTTCTTTTGTTGAAAATGTTAAAAAGTGATCTTAAATTTATGGATACATAGAAAACATAAAATTTCTCCATTTGATTTATATACTTCATAATAGCTTGTGACATGCTCAAAATAACAAGATTTTTTTCAATTATTTCATATATTCTTTTAAAAATCACGTTTTATTAAATTTATTCATTCAACAAATTAATTTTGAACACCTAACATATACTAACAAATGTGCCAAGTCCAGAAGATTCAAGGATGAATCAGAGGCCATCCTTGACTTTAAAAAGCTGACAGTCTAGAAGAGCCAAGCCGACACGAAAATCAATAAATGCAATAAGGACCAAAAGCACAATTATCGAAATGTGTGCAGGGTAGAGGTACTGAGCATTGGGAGATACAGAATAACTAATTCCTATTAGCTGCTTCTGTGTGTATGCCAGATAGTGTTCTGAGTGCTTTACTTACATATCTTAGCTCCTCACCAACCTGTGATCGTTTCTATTATCATATTGCTACACTCATTTTACAGATGAGGGACTGAGACAAAGAGTGGTTGCCTCACTTGCCCAAAGTCACTCAGCTATACTGAGTGGCAGAACCAGGATTTAAATGAACGTAGGCCACTGGGCTTATGAACTCTCTGCTCTCAACCACTACACATTTGCTGTCCAGACTGTCCAGCAGACTGTCTAGGAAGAAATGCAAAGCACTTTAAGCAGAGAGGGCAGCTTGGGCAAGGGTGCTAGTGCAGGAAAGACACAAGCACCTTCTGAAGTCAAGCAGATAGGATACCAGAAGGCTGAGGAATATGCCACAACATGGGGAGGCTTGGATCAGTTTGGGTAGACAATGAGAGGCCATTGAAGGATTGTAGTCAGAAGAGTGATGGGGCAGATCTGTTTCTTAAAAAGACTATTTTGACTGTGTTTGGGAGGATGTGCTGCAGAGGTTCTGGATGCAGGTGGGGAAGGGAGGATGCGTTGCAGGAGGATGTGTTGCAGGAGGATGTGTTGCAGAGGGAAGATGTGAGGCAGAGGGTCTGGACACAGGTGGGGAAACCCCCTTTAGGGACCATTTCTTCCAGGTAAGAGAAGGCTGTAGCAGTGGAGTTGCAGAGAGAAGAATGGACCAGAGCTATTTTAAGGAAGACTAGGCCAGTGCCAGTTTTGATTAGTGGATGCCAAACTTAGTGGTCGTTTAATGTTTTTATATTAAACCTTCAGCAGAATCAACAGTGTGCTTCATGAAGGCAGAGCCCAGATTTGTTTTTCTCGCCATTGTGCTCCCAAGGCTTGGTAATGTGCTCAGGAAATACTTATTGATTGGATGAGTTAATGAATAAGTGAATAAACCAACAAATAAGTAAAGAAAAAAAAGAATGAATCAAAGAAATGACTCAGTATTGGATTAGACCAAGTGCATAAGGGAAGAAGTTAATGGATTCTCAAATGAGTTGCCTAAAAGATTAGGTCAATTTCTCTTTTCTTATGCACTAAATTTTGTTTCCAGACCTTTCTTATGAGTATTGTGTGTGGAACATAAAGCAACCAACTCAGCCCCACGATTTGGCTATTGGGGGACCCATGAAAGAGCCTGCCCAGCCCTGCCTGCTTCTGGGGGGTCTCGGTCGTGTCATATGACTACATCACTTGGCTCCGTTTCCAAGTTCCCCACCTCTAACCTCTCTGGAGCTCACATTCATCTTTCAAAAACATCACTTCCGTTATATCACCCATCACTCACTCCCTTCATTACACATCTCTTTGCCATGCTTTAGTTTTCATCTGAGCACTTACTGTTTCCTGACATTATGTCATTCATTCATTCATTTTATTTGGTTCTCTGTTAGTTTCCTATTGCTGCAGTAGCAAATTGCCATAAACTTAGTGGCTGAAAACACAGATTTATCATCTTGTAGTTCCTGAGGAAAGAAATCTGAAATGGGCCTCACTGAGATAAAGTTACTGTGGCCAGGGCTGCATTATTTCTGGAAGCTCCAGGGGACAATCTGTTTCCTTACCTCTTTCAGCTTCTAGAGGTTGCCCTCATTTCTCATCTTGTGGACTCTTTGATCTTTAAAGCCAGCAAAGGCAGCTTGAGTCTTTCTCATGATGCCATCTCTCTGGTCTCACTCTTCTGCCTTCCACTTCCTCATTCAAGGACTCTTGTGATTACATTGGGCTCGCCTAGATAAACCAGGATAATCTTATTTTAAGGTCAGCTGATTAGCAACTTTAATTCTAGCTGCAATTTTAATTCCCCCTCACCATGTAACAACATATTTATGGATTACAAGGACTAGGATATGGATGTCTTTTTTTTTTTTTTTTTTTTTTTTTTTTTTTTTGAGATGGTGTCTTGCTCTGTCACCCAGGCTAGAGTGCAGTGGCACAATCTTGGCTCACTGAAACCTCCGCCTCCCGAGTTCAAGCAATTTTTCTGCCTCAGTCTCCTGAGTAGCTTGGATTTCAGGCATGCCACCACACCTAGCTAATTTTTGTATTTTTAGTAGAGACGGAGTTTCACCATGTTGGCCAGGCTGATCTTGAACTCCTGACCTTGTGATCCGCCCGCCTTGGCCTCCCAAAGTGCTGAGATTACAGGCGTGAGCCACCGCACTTGGCCCAGGATGTGGATGTCTTTGAGGGGCCATTTTCTGCCCAGCACAATCTGCCTCTTCTAGAATTGAAGTCTCTTGAGAGCAAAACTTTGTCTACTTTGCTCTCTACAATACAGTCATTGATTAGAAGAGGGCCAGTATATTGTAAGCATGCAGTAAATATGTTTTGAATATAAATCAGCAAATCTTGTCCTTCTCTTTCACAATCCACCTCATACCAAGGCAGAATAATTTTCCTTAATATCAGCATGGATCATAATATATTCTTTGATATTGTTTGGCTGTGTTCCCATCCAAATCTCATCTTGAATTGTAGTTCCCATAATCCCCAGGTGTCATGGGAGAGAGCCAGTGGGAGGTAATGAATCATGAGGGTAGTTACCCCCATGCTGTTGTTCTCATAATAGTGAGTGAGTTCTTACAAGATCTGATGGTTTTATAAGGGGCTTCCCACCTTTTGCTCTGCACTTCTCTTTCCTGCTGCCATGTGAAGAAGTACGTGTTTGCTTCCCCTTCTGCCATGATTGTAAGTTTCCTGAGGCCTCCCCAGCACTGTGGAACTGTGAGTCAAATAAACCTCTTTCCTTTATAAATTACCCAGCTTGGGTATGTCTTTATTAGAATCGTAAGAATGGACTAATACACTCTTGCTCAGAGAACATGAATCGAGCACTTCTAGGTGAGATGTCAGCTTGGCCCCAGCCACCTTGTTCTTTCCTAGCAAATTCCAGTGGAAGTAACAGCAGATCTTGCAAAGAGAGAAACATCTGCCTCAGTTCTGAACAAAGCAAGTGACCATCCTCATGCCACAAAACAGAAGAACTTCTGCCAGATCCAGAACTGTCACCCCTGGGTCGTATGGAGGCTTTGAAGGTTGAGATTCAATCCTCATTCCTGAGAAGGTGAGAAGCACAGCAAAGAGGTCAGGGGGTCTGAGGGGCCTCAGTGATGCCCCTTACTTGAGCTCTCTCTGATCTCTCTAAACCAGGAGCTCTAGAACCCCATTGTGAATGTGGATATTGTTATAGATGCAAATGTCCACCTGTTCAGAGAATTAGGCAAGACAGAGAGAGTTGTTTTTCTGGGAACACTGTCTGAGGGAGAAACCACAAAGCTTCTGGTCATGGTTCCTGCCCTGCCTCCCTCTCTACTTCTCTGGAGCTCCTGTAACTCCAAGTGGATAATATACTGTTTTGTTTTTGTCATTGTTATTGTTGATGTTGCTTGTCTTTACTTTGTAAAATATGAACCTTTCATCATATGAGTGACTTTGGCAAAATGCATCTCAGACATTCAAATACTTCCTATTTATTAAGTGCCTCCCACTGTGCAATCCATATGCTAGGCACTGCAGATGATGTCTTAGTCTTTATAACAGCCTTGTAGGTTGGATAGCATCGTTCCCTTTTCAGAAATGCAGGAACATGCCTAAGGCTCAGAGTCTTCCGAGTGGGAGAGTTCAGATGCAGCTCACTCAGAGGTCTCTGCTGGCCCAGATCTGTCCATCATCTTCTAGCATAAATGAAGGCAGCCGCTCTGAAGGCAGGAGGACCAGGCTTAATCTGAAACCTGTGATCATTGAAACAAGCATGGCTTGCTCTGCACGCTTGGGGTTCAAATGAATGGGTCTCTATTTCCTCCTTTCCACATAATCACTCAAATAAGATAGGGACTGGAGTCAGGCAAGTGAGACTCTCATCCCAGGAACAAAATAGAAGGAAACACAAAAAAAACTCAGTAATCAAGATAAATAATAACTTTAATTTAATACAGTGTTTTAAAAAATCAAGTACTCAAACTATAGCTGTCTGCCTAGCTATTTTTAAACATGAAGTTTTGCCAAGGCTGGGATGAGGTTTGAGCAAATGAGGCCAGTTTGATGTCAGATCCTGTCTATTTAAAGTTTGATATTTTGTTCATCATGTTTATTTTATGTTATGTTTTCATTAATTCTAGCTGAAGCACCCACCCACCTTCTCAGCAGAAAGCCTGATATCTCCCTCTGAGGCCACACTTTCCACACGAGTTATAGGGACCTGTGATGTGCAAAAGGAAGTTACATAGCTTCTCTTCATAATTTCTATCTTTTGGGCACAAAATTCTGACTTTTGAAGAATACAGTTATGTAATCACCACCACAATCAAGATTTACAACAGTTCCATTATCCTAAAGAGTCATCCCCTCCTCCATTCCCAATAACGGGCAACTACTGATCTGTTTTTCTGTCCCTATAGTTTTGCCTTTTCCAGAATGTCATTTACATGTAACAATATAGTATGAATATAGTATCTCTTGAGCCTGGCTGCTTTCACTTAGTGTA